TTTTCAGGAGGCAAAATATCTTTGTATCTCAGAAGAAGGATGAAATTTGTGATTTTCCAACTTGTAATAAAATGATATATATTTTCCAATGACATTTTCTCTGATATCTTCAAATGCTAGAAATGTACAACTGCCATGCATTGCTTTCCTAAATATTCATATATGACTCCTAAATATTCATATATGACATGACTGATTCTCGGCATAGAGAAGAGTTCTTGTCCTGTTCATTGATGAAGGACATCTTGACTCTGGTGCCCCAAATATGCCAAGAGAATGCCTAGTTTGCTTTTTGAAATGTTGATATGAGAATGTATTTCCTTGAAAAAAAACAGCAGCCCAAGAGATTGTTCCCCAGGAAACATCCATTACAGTGATCATCAATTTCTTTGAAAGAACTGGTCCTTTCAACACATTCTAGGAAAAGAAGGGGACTTTTGAGATCGGATATTCGAGACAAGTGGCATTAATGGATTAAGAAAAGGGTAGATGTAGAAATACCTGGTATCTGTGGGCATTAACTGAGCAGTAACTGATACTGTCAGCTCATCTCTCAAGTGATTCTTTCAAAAGCAATAGATAGTGTGTTGGCTTTACATGATGGGGTTTTGGTAGCATGGGAGGGGTTGCCGAAACTGTTAAGTAGCTGCAAAAAGCTTCCCAGGCTTCAAAACCAGTCAGACAGACCTCTGGCCAGGTCAGACTCTCCATCCCCTCAGGCCAGGCCAAAACAATCAGCACCTCTGGGAATGCCCTATTTAAGATGGGACAAAGGAGCCCAAACCTGGGCTGGACTTACACGAAAGAGAGGGAGAAGGCAGAGAGCTGGCCCTCAGCTGGGCGGCTGCCCGAGCTGGGCTGCTGCTACCGGACTGGAGATGGCTGCAGTGCTGCAGTTTGGAGAGATCCCAAGTGTCCCAGGAGTGGGGCACCTGCTGGGTGGAGTTAGTCCTGCCAGGACTGCAGAGGTTCATTGGGCCCAGGATGACTGCAGTGGAGAAAAGACTGAGACCTGAGAGAAACAGCCATGCAGACACCCAGGACAGAGAAGATGGAGTGGGTGGAGGTGTGCCGCAGCTGGGATTCCTCTGCAACCCATTATGAGATGGCAGGTGGCCCCCTGCTGCTTGTGGAGAATCCCATGCTGAAGCAGATGCCCATGCCTGAAGGAAGTCATACAGAATGGTTTGCTGCTAGAGACTGATGACAAGGCAGAGAGGCATCTGAAGCCCATGGAGAACTCCACACTGGAGTGGAGCGGGTGGCAGCTCCCTAAGAAGCTGTCTTCCAGTACCTCAAGGGGGCCTACAGGAAAGATGGGGAGAGGCTGTTCAGGAGGGCCAGTTATGATAGGACAAGGGGTAATGGTTTTAAAATAGAGGGAGGTAGGTTCAGGTTGGATATTAGGAAAAAATTTTTTACTATGAGAGTGGTAGAACACTGGAACAGGTTGCCCAGAGAGGTGGTGGATGCTCCATCCCTGGAGACGTTCAAGGCCAGGTTGGACAAGGCCCTGAGCAACCTGATCTAGTTGGAGATATCCCTGTTCCTTGCAGGGGGGTTGGACTAGATGACCTTTGAAGATCCCTTCCAGCCCTAACCATTCTATGATTCTATGATTCTATGACTGTGGGGAAGAAGCCCACACTGGAGCAATCTCATAGGTCAAGATTGCATCCTGCAGGAAGGACTCTGCTGGAGAAGTCTGTGGACTGTCCTGTGAGGAGCAGATCCACTGGAGCAGAGAAGAGTGTAAGGAATCCTCCTCCTTTAAGAAAGGAGCAGCAGGAACAGCCTGTGATGAACTGACCTGCAACCCCGTCATTCTCTGTCCCCTTGTGACGCCAGGGGAGGAGGTAGAGTCAGGAGGAAGGGAGGGATGGGAGAGAAGGTGTTTTTAAGATCTATCTGTTTCTTGTTATCCTCTCAGAATGAACCATTAATGTAGTAAATTGTTTTGTCTCCAAAATAAGTCCAGTTTTGACCAGGGCCATGGTTGGTGGTTAATCTCTCCCTGTTCTTATCTCAGTCCCTGGGCCTTTTGTTACATTTTTTCTCCTCTCCATCTCACTGAGGGGGAGGAGTGAGTGAGCAATCTTGTGGTGGCTGAGCTGCTGGCTGGGCTAAACCATGACAGATAGTGATAACGATTAATACAGAGGAACACTTCACTGAGAGGTAGTTCAGTACACTATGTCAGAGTATACTGAACTTCAAGGAGATGAAATTAAACTAGAAAATAGACCAGAACTTTAGGATTAGTGGAGAAGGAACCTGTCAGAAGGGCCAGAATAGCAAATGGCTCAGAACTTTACTTTGGAGAAGTTTCTGCAATTTTAGCAATGTCCTAAATCGCAGACCTATGGAGGTCAATCTAGTAGCAGAGCACAGTGAAAAGATAGCTGACAGACCTGAAACAAGATATAGAACAGAAGACAATTTGTGTTGATGGGCTGATGGGTCTCTCCTGTAGATGTTGATGATGTTACCTATAGGTAGCCAGTAGGCTGCAAAACCTCACACATAACGATCAACGATGAACTGCAGAAGTTTGTCCATCTGGAAACTGAGATTGAACCACAGAACTAAAGCTTTCACATCTTCCCCTATCCTGGAAGACACAGCCTTGTACATTGCCCACATCAGCAGTATGGTACTTTTCTAGACAGACTTTTAATGCACATTTCCAAGACAGACTTTTAATGCGCATTTCCATCACAGGCACAACACCCTGATAAAACACAACTTCAAAATCAGAAACTTAAACTCTAACAGCAGGTTAAAGACAAGCAGAGAAAAACAGCCTTTCCTCCTTCTCACAGATACACTTTTAGGAGAGAGGGGTATGGGAATTAGAAGGAAAATGGAATTAGGAGAAAGTATAAGAAAGGAGTTATTAGATAATTTTGATTTTGTGGAACTAGAAATAAAACACCAGAAAACTTAGAAGGAATGGCAAATGAGGACAAAAAATTATGCGGGTGACAAGGTTTTACATTGGCTTAAAAGTTTGAAGGTAAAATACTGCTTGTAAGGCAAAAATATTAGAAGAGAACAAAAAAAAACTTTGTGTACAGAACATACTTTCACTGTGATTACTGCTGCGTAAAAAAAAAATCTTTACAGTGATATAACTCTCCATGTAAAGGTGGATATGCATGTACAACCCAATAACATAGAATATTAATCAACTTGGTGTATAATCATTAGTAATCATTTCAGCAATCTTAACTGTTAGCACAGAACAAAATCATTTGAACAAAAATAAACGTTAAAACAAACACCAAAGTACACATTTAAGAATAGATTTATTCAAAAAGAATAAAACACACTAGATATTTCTCAGATCTCTTCCAACAAAGATCTATGAGTTAACAAAATGTGTCAGTATAAATCCTATTTTATTAAACCTAGTAGTTCTACCACAAGCACTCACACCTGTCTACTTGATTAGGCTTCAAAATCCCAGTTTTATGTTACAACTAAAGGTGGTAAATCTTGATTGAGTTGAATGAGAAATTACTTGGAAGTCTGCAAACAAAATGTAAACCTTTTCTGGGATCCAAAGGAGGTGTTAAATTGCATAAAATGTAGATATGATGTGAACTGGGCACTGTGTTATATCATAAGTACTCTCCTGTCCCATGACCCTTACATTGTTAGGTTCTCACAAGGTAAATCCGAACCTCTTGAACATGTTTTCACATTTCTGTCCTCACCTTTCGGTTTGGGATGAAAATGTAACAGATCACAGAAGCAATTATTTTTGCCCAATCTGTAAGCACACCCTCAAAAAGTCTTCCTATAATGCTTCCAGATTTCATGAGATTCTCTCCTTTTTAACATTCAGAAAATGATATCAAGTCGGTAAACAGTATGTTCATTTCAGAAAAGCAAAACATTTTCTTGAAACTCATTTTTACTTGCTTTTTAGGCAGAGCTTTATGGTAAGCATTAAATGACTGTAGTTCTGTGCAATAAACTTTTCATTCATGATGGAATCGATCTCTCCAAACTATTAGATCTTTCCTTCATCCTATTTATACAGATGCTTATATATTTAATATATGCTTACACTAAGTGTTCATTGATATGGTCAGAACAGTGAAATGGTCATAAAACGCTGTTGGAAATGGTGGAATACTTCAAGTGCACTTTTGATGTATTTAGGTCTAATATACCCCAAGAAAATTAAATAAACAAACTATTATCCTTTATATTTTTAGTAGAATTGTTGCTAACGGTACTTAAAAGGCAGCTGTTCATATACTGTTAATTGCAATGTAAACAACTTCAGATGCTATTAGCAAATCAGCTTTTTCTTTTTTTAAACTTACAAACTAATGTTCCTTATTATTTTGATTCAAGAGCTGTACTTAAGTCAAACCAAGATATTTACAGGTTTACCCTGTTCACATACTCATCAGTAATTGATGTGATTCCAAATATTTGCTATGTAGTGTGCTTTTACTCAAGCCACAATAAATGAGCCAATATAGGTTTATTTACATATATATCTCTCTAAATATCACTTAATTCCTCACAGCTAGTTTTTATTTTTTATGTAAGATTTCTATGAAACAAAAATAGGTTTGCACAAGAGATGTGTCTACCATCTAAGAAGCAACAACAAATTTTTGCAAATCCCATACAATCAAATTCTGCATTTAACTATAGAAGTTAAAAATAATTGCAAGTTTTCTCCAAGACTACAGATAACGACAGCTGTTAAAAGAGTAAGTAGTAAGTTGCTCTGAGACTTTTTCTCAGTACTACACTCTTCTTGAATCTGTTCTAAGCAGGTTTAAATGTTATAAAACACAATTGTGAAGAGCCATTATTGATTTTGCATTTTTAAATACTCGTGTTTACTGTTATGCCAAGGACACAAGGTGAAAGACTATTTTCTTCAGTGATCATGTATGTTAATATTTTTTAAAACAGAAAAGAGTTGAAACTTGAAGAAAATCATGAAGATTCTTGTATGTGCACAGCCATACCTGAGCATTAAGAAGTTCTTCACATTTGTGAGAATGTTTTTCAATTGCTAGTATGTACTGTTTTTCAATAGCTGCTTCTTGCTGTTGAACTGTAGATTGTAGCAGTGCCTGCAAAAAGAAAGCACAGAATATTCAACAAAGATATAATTGGGATGTTTATTGGTAACGGCAGATCTACTAATACTTGTGTATAACTAGAATGTGGAATGCTGTTATAAATTCAGAATGTGCAACTATTAAAGTACCTTTTTATGTAACACTACCTTGTTTTCAGTTAGGGCTAAAATTTTTTGGATCTCAGATTTCTTATACACATGCTTAAAAGAGAGCAGCACACAGAAGATAGAGAGGGAGAGTATTTCTGTCAAATATACTCAGTTTAGTGGGACCACACAAGAAGAGCAGCATATGAAAGCTGCTGAAGAAAAAAAAAAAAAAAGCCAGACATATTTCCCTGGCTGACAAAACTCCACATCCTCTCGGCACAGTGTAAGATCCCATGGGCCAAGCATGATCTTCACAACCACAAGTCAAGTAAAAGCAGATGGAAATTCTGAGTAATTTGAAACATAAAAGAACACCCCCCCAGGAAGCTCACACTCAAATGCAAAGCAGTGGAAGTCGAAGTGTGGAAAGTCAAAGTACCAAGACAGTAACAAAAAGATAATAAAATTAGGAACTCTGTGTGTGAGCACGTGTGTATGCACACGTGTGTATTCACATGCACTTGACTGAACTCTGCAGAATTTCCAGCATCGGAACACAAAAATAGAAATAAAAAAATTTTAAGATATATGAAGAACCTCATTTGAGGAATTTCACTCAGGCTTCATTAAACAATGATGGTATTTTAACGCAGAATTTACTTAACTCATGCTATGCAAGTATTTTTCCCTACTAGTATTAAATATTTTTTCCAAATATTTATGCAGCTATTTATACACAATGTAGCAAACTATTTTTAACTAGTAATCAATATAGTGAAGTAGGTCAAATTACTGTGTAAGTTAAAACAGATATAAGTTTTATAGAAAACAGACTTTTGGCACAAACGCAGACAAAGAAAAAAATCCCATCTTTCAAACAATCTGTATTTTAGAGATATATTTACTTTATGGAACACAATGCACACATTAAATACTATTTTGAATACTTTTTTTTATTAAAAAAACCCCACAACAAACCAAAACAAACAACTAAAAATGTATACAAAAAAAACACCTTCTGACAACTTTTGAACTATCTTTCCAGATTTTCTACTAATCAGCCTCCTATGCCAAAATCAGTGTTCTTCAGTAATGTTTAGTATGGTAGTATTTTTCAGCACAGGTTCAGAGATTTGAAAGATGAAAATCAATGCTTAACATACACCTTAATCAAAGTGTAAGAAAATATTTACTGGTGTTTGCAAGGGATTTAGCTAGCCATAATTTTACCTTCAAAAAAGCCAATTTCTTCCCAGATAAATTTATTTCTTTTATAGATATAAATACAGGCAATCACAAAAACTTAACTCGCAAAGAAGTGTAACTTCTGTGCATGAAACTTTTTGTGCTAAATCCTACACTGTATGAACTAGAATTGCCACATATTACTGGCAAAAATTAAGTCCATACTTTGGGGTATTTTTTTTCCCTAAACTGTTGTGACAAGAATTGTTTCATATAACTGGCACGAAAAAATTGAATTCTGATCTTAAGGAAAACAGTAACAGAATGGTCATTAAATTGCAATGCCATTTCTCAGATAGTATCTTGCTCATGCCAGGGGCTGAGCCACTCTATGCACTTTGCTATGCAAACTTAACTGACAAATGTTAAATTCCTACTAAATGGTATAAGGAACTTTCAGTTTTCAAGGAAATAATTATTAATCATCGGATGCACATAGAGGTTGTTAAATTTTTAATCATAGTATTATTATTTTCTTTAGAAAATACATAAAATTAAACATTCAGAAACAAAAGCCTTCCTTTTCTACCATAAACACTACTAATATAGTTTAAATAGTACCACAGCATTGATCCTGGTTTTGACTATTCTACTAGTTGGCCGAGTAAGGAGACAGTGAGAAAAACTCCCCTATGTACTTCAGAGATAGCCTCCATGTCGTGCCATAAAAAAGTCTCCAGACAAAAATCTTTATTTTGTGTGGAGAGATTCAGCAGATCAGCCAGTCAAAGAGACCTTTTAAATACAGAATAAATTATTTATGCCAAGGTCTAAATTTTTTCAAATCACTTAAAAGAATATGAGGTGTGTCACATAATACCCTGAAATTGCAGTGACTCCTTATTATAAAAATAAGATTCCCCCTTTCAAGAGTAATCTGAAGACTCTCAGAAATTTATGGTTTTAAGATGTGCTTACAATCAAAACAGAATGCTGAGCTCTAACTTATTTTAAAGTGTAGAATGTTTTTATTCTCATGAGAAAGATTTTATGCTTAGGACTGACAGTAATTGCCAGTACTGTCAGATACGGCACTTCTATAAAACAAAGCCAACTCTTCTGAAGTATGAACAGAAAAGTGTCATAGAGAATCAGCATCACTAGACAAATTTATCTTGCCCTTTAAATTAAGCGTTTAATTATTCTTAATTTATCATTGAAACATTTTATTAAATATGGGAAATTATCAGAAATAAGACAGTTTTAAAAATAAAATCCAGACTTGACAATTTCCTTTAATCCTAATCTAATATGCAGCTGTTGCCTAGGACACTACTATGTTCACTGCATATATCCTACATATGCCTGGCTCCAGCTGACTATAAAAAGTAAATATGAACATAAAGATGACATAAACCAACGTATTTCCAAGACTGCAAAAAAAAGTTGCAAAAAGAAAACATGGAGGTTAAAAACGAGGTCATTTTCTTTCTGATCACAACCACCATTTAATGTTTCTTGATGGGGTAAACACAGCACAGATACATCCAAAGCTTTTGCAAATTTCAAGATAATCAATTACTTAAATTACTAATTAAAAAACCTAATCTACTAATTAACTAATTTACTAAATTAAAACATGCATTTAGCTACTTCATGATAGGCATCTCTCTTATAGTTCCATACTTCCTTCATGCAATGACACTAAAAGTCAAATAAAATTCAAATAAAAAGCCATACATGAATAGAAGAACAAACTGCAGCCACTATAGAGCCTGTAAAACCATACATGGCCTATTAACATTTCCTTCTTCCTTGTATCTTATATTACGGTTTTACCACTACTATACTGAGAAAAAAAACCCAAACACATTAACTGAGAAAACCAAGAATTAATGTCTACATTGACATTGTTTTGCTAGGTTTGATTCAGTTATAATTCATTTTCAACTTGGCAAAATCTTCTTAGCTAATCAAAGCTAAAATTCAGTCAAGTTTTAAGCCTTGGACTTTAATCTATAGCTGGTTTGGCTCATAGATCAGAAAAAGAAAATGATAGTAGACAGTAGCACTGAGAAAGCTATTAGGGGAAGAAAACAGTGCCAAATTAACACATCTATATTTAATTTGTCTAAAACCAGAATTACTTCCAAAAATTACACTGACTTAAGGTATCCAGTAAGTTTTATTTGGTCAAAAAAAACTAGGACAAGAATAAAATACCTCATACTTTAACAATTAATCTAGCTCAGTATTCTCAGTTTCAGTATAGGAACTTAAGATGACTCAGAGAAGTGACAAGAAACTATCAGAGTCAGATATGGAATAGTAAACCTTTAGGTCCCTTTCCAAAATCTATCAGGTATCAGATGGATTACAGTCTGATGTACAGCTGTATTTTCTTCCTTTCAAAATTAAATGAAAGAAATTATTATATGCTCTCATCTTATCAGGACTAAAACCAGTGGAATTTAACCAAAAAGGAAAATTAGGAGTCTGCACTCTGTCTGAGTCTTGGTTTTTCTTTCCCAGAGAACAGGGCAATGGCTCTTGAACCACTACAGATGAAGCCAAATTTTCCGAGTTCTAAAATTTCAAAGAATCGTTGATTATAGCTCTTATTCTACTATCCATATCTCTGGATTCTTGCTAGTAAAGCAGCCTTTACAGTGCAAGGAATAACAAAATAATAGCAGAATTGTAGAACGTGCTAGAACCTTGTAAATCCTTGGGGGTGAGGGGGGATGGAATATGTTTGAGTACCTGTAAACTATATGGTTTAGTTGTATGATAGGGTAGTTTAAATGCTAGAATTCATCTGGACAAAGTTCTATCTTCTACTTGCTATTTTGCCACTTGGAAATAATTCATATTCCCAATGCACATTACACTCCATCACCAAACTGTCTTATGTTTTCTGTTCATTGTTTCTGGACATATATACACGAGCAACTTTGGGTTGGTTTTTAAAGAACAAATTCACATGGGAAAGCTAAGGAGTAACATGCATGCTCACATTTACAGTACCTACACACAGTGTGGCTGCTCCAAATGAACGCTCCAAATAACAGGACTTCTAGGATGACAATGACAGCAAAGCAAGCCATCTTCTGAAGCTTGAGCTATCAGAAACATTCCAAACCATTCAAGAAATCCTGCTTCTTCCCTCCTTTTTTGTTTCTCTCTTAACCCAACAAAGTTATCAGAGAATTGATCCATTTAAGCAAAAATGCCTGGTGGCTTCTGACAGAACACAGAGAATGAAACTGCTTAAGAACAAGTTCTCTAAAGAGTCTTCATATCAATTTCAGTTTTATATATGATGGGTTATAAAAATCACAGAAACCATTATTTTCTCAAACCATTATCAAAACCTTCCAACATTTAAATGACAGGACAAAACATTTTTAAATTAGTTTGCAGAAAGATTAAAAGTGAATTCATCTGAATTTTTATAAACTGGAATTTTACCAAAACAAAATGAAACTTAACAAACTAAATTAGCCCAAATCCCTGTTTGAGCTCAGATAAAAAGCTAAGTTTACCTTTAAGTTTCATACACGAGAGTAATTTTGGAAGACCCTGAATTGAAACTAGATCCAAACATCATAATAAGAACTTTATCCATAATCACCTTAAGGTGTCCTTAAAGGAATCGTACATCTTAATTACTCTATTATATGCTTTAGGAATGGTCAGAGAATTAAGTAGTCCTGC